TGGTCCAATCACGACCGTCTCCAGCTTGAGCCAGTTGTGGTCCAATTCCCATGGTACAAGTAACAGTTTGAATGCATTTCCGTCTGACCACTTCCCTCGAGCGTTGATCGTGCACCAGAACCTGGTCACTCCTAGCAAGCGCCATCCTCTTCAAACTGCAATGATCCAACTGTTTCCGCACTGTTCATTCGCTCCAAACGAGCCTTTACAACATCTAGTTTGTTATACATCAGTTCACCACCGAGTAGCGCCAAACCGGCAAGGCTATCTGCGCCCTCATTTCCTAATGCATAGGTATATTCTGTGGAAAATTTTCAAAGGACGCTAATCACGAGGGGCCTTCGAGTCGATGCTTGACAATTTTCACGGAACATAGAGGTCTCGATCTTTCTGCGCATGCTCTGTGAGTTGGTTATCTCTTTGAAATAATACTTCTATAACATAGCAACGGCTTTATATATTATATATATTATATATATATATATATATATATATATATATATATATATATATATATATATATATATATATATATATATGTGTGTGTGTGATAGAGAGAGAGAGAGAGAAAGAAAGAGAGAGAGAGAAAGAGAGAGAGAGAGAGCGGAGCGGAGCGGGAGAGACAGGCAGACAAAAACCCACCTGCAGCTCATAAAGTGTAAGCCGAATAGAGAGATAGATACAGGAACCAGATCACAGACGGATAGAGAGATAGATACAGGAACCAGATCACAGACGGATAGAGAGATAGATACAGGAACCAGATCACAGACGGATAGAGAGATAGATACAGGAACCAGATCACAGACGGATAGAGAGATAGATACAGGAATCAGATCACAGACGGATAGAGAGATAGATACAGGAACCAGATCACAGACGGATAGAGAGATAGATACAGGAACCAGATCACAGACGGATAGAGAGATAGATACAGGAACCAGATCACAGACGGATAGAGAGATAGATACAGGAACCAGATCACAGACGGATAGAGAGATAGATACAGGAACCAGATCACAGACGGATAGAGAGATAGATACAGGAACCAGATCACAGACGGATAGAGAGATAGATACAGGAACCAGAGCACAGACGGATAGAGAGATAGATACAGGAACCAGATCACAGACGGATAGAGAGATAGATACAGGAACCAGATCACAGACGGATAGATGGGTGAGAAGAATTAATGAGATCGATGGATGCTAATGATTGTGCTCTGCTAAGTAAAAACAACAAAGACACACACAGACAAACAAGATATTTACCATCAACAGCATCAACGGTTGGACGAAAAAAAAATTATAAAAATATAAATATATTGAAGACACCAATATCAGATGAAGCCGATATAAAGTTGGAGACAACCGGAATTCAAGTAATCGATCACTGTACTTATTTAGGTTGTAATTTTGATGATGGACACAATATAAAGACATTCAATACGCTTTGGCAAGGAATCAGCAGCGTTTAAAAGTCATGGAACTCTGAACTTTATAGTTTTAAAACAAAGATGCAATACTACTAATGACATACAACAAGCTGGCTCTGTACCATTTGGTATTGAATTCGTGTAGGACAACAAGCCAGATGTTGTCAGGACCCTTTGGGTGCCGGTAAACAATGCGGAGGGAAATGACGATGCGGGGAGTTACCAGTGGAGCTGACCGACGCTCATCACTTAAGCGAAAGGCGAGACGGATGTTCAAGCAGACAGTTACCGCTACTTTTGAATTGGAACTTGTCGCTTGCGGCTGAACATGGGGACGAAGCGCTTATGGGAGTGTCCCGAGTGCTATGATGCCGATTCTTGTTTGAACATTGAAGACATGTAACGAAAGTTGAATGCTTTGTAAAACAAATCTTGAGGGAAAAGATTAACATAAGGTGAATATAAGATGGGTAACTACATGAGAGATATGACTTGGCAATTAGTAGCAACTGCTACAAAACAGAGAATATGGCGCTATTTTAGACACATCCTGTGAAGAAACCAGCAAAGACCCACCAGAACAGGCACTGACCTGGGAAGTCACAAGATCAAGGAGGTGAGGCCGCCCCCCCCCCCTCTACTCCCCCCCCCTTTCATTTAAAAAAACAACAATTCAGCGTTGATGGGAGGGGTGACAGATACCGGATTGGATTCTATCTAGTAGGTTGAACTGAGTGCACTCGACAGAACGGAATGAATGAGTAGTCTTCGAGTCCTATGTAACGTATAATGACACAATGGGATAATGGGTGAATGGATGACTGGATAGATGGATGGGTGGACTGAGGGATGTTATGTTGAAAGTAGGCAGATATACAAGCAGATAGATAGACTGAGTGCCAGACAGACAGACAGACGGACAGACAGACAGACAGACAGACAGACAGACAGACAGACAGACAGACAGACAGACAGACAGACAGACAGACAGACAGACAGACAGACAGACAGACAGACAGAATGTCGCTAGGTGATGATGGCTCCGAGGGGTGTAGCCAAGAATGCTTAGATCTGAGAATTGACCAACAGGGCGGTCCGAGAGGTTGTCAGCGGCGTGCTGGGAGTAGTGATGTGTTGGATCCCTTCCAAAGGGATGCTAGTCTTCTCCTCCTCAGTCAAGGGGTCCTGGTAGTCCTTGTGGTAGCGGACCTTTCTGACGATCAGTATCACAGCAATCAGTAGCATCGCTCCCATCACCGAGGCGATGGCCAGTGCGATGTGTGTCTTGCTGATGCGGACAATACCATCCGCAGACACAACATGCATGTTCAGAGTGGTGGTGTAGTTGTGACACTCAACCGGGTGTACCTGCTTATACATCAAGCAGACTTCGTACGTCGTCTGAGGTCTGAGGCCTGTAATTGTGCATTTGTGAATAGAACTGTGCAGAAAAATAACGTCATACGCTTTCTCCTTGCTATTTTGCCGTAGCTGTTTCGTGTCATTGAACACTGGATCCCGGATTTCCTTAATCTCTTCGCCGCTGTCGGTGTTGAAGTTTGAGACGCGTCTGTAGAAAAGCTGGAAGTCGGACATTTGGACCCGAGGTATGGACCCTCTCCAGGACACGGTGATGTAATCGTTGCTGACCTTGACTTCGCTAAGACTGAGCGGCTTGTTCTGGACGTGCACAACTGTGGTACTGATGTCGTCCCCCAAGGGGCTCACAGCCCGACACCCATAGGACCCACTGTCTGACAGCTTAGCCGACTGGATGTACAGGAGGGTATCCTCCACCAGCTCCACTGGCGATCTGGCCGCTGTCCAGTCTTGCGTCAAGTGAGATACCGTAGAGTAATTGACCTCCAGACCCCCTGGTAGAATCCAGGAGAGGGTTGGAGCGGGAACACCAAGCCCTTGACACTCCAGCCAAAGTTCGTCGCCAAGACTGACGTTCATAAATGCTGAAAACAAGGGAAGCGTGGCTGGGGGACACGTTGGGGAGAAATACAGGATGGGCAGCTGGATCAGAGGCATGCTGGCCTTCCCCGCGGGAAAGAAGCAAGAGACTCGGTCTGGTTCACTGATGAACATTCTGCCAGTGTGGACACTCGGGTCGCTGCTGTTCATTGTGCTTGTGGGAGTTGTAGTGGCAGGTGAGGCAGCAGACAGCAGTCTTGTGTTATTATAGTCTGTTGTCGTGTTTGATGATTGAGCGCTGTCTTGACCCGCTTGCAGTTTAGTTTTGTAATCCAACTGATAAACTTTGTTGAGCTCTTTGCGCAGCCAGTAGATATTACAGTCACAATGGAGTGGGTTGTGATGAAGGTGAAGGTCAGTCAGAGCAGGGAGAGATATGATAATCTGGCTGGCCACGGCGATGAGGCCGTTGTTGTGGATAAAAAGATGGCGTAGGAATGGTAACAAGGAGAATGCTGATGGGTGCAGAAAAACTAGATTTTGGTTGTCATGGAGTTGCAACGTTCTTAAGTTTGTCAGGTTGTAGAAAGCAGATTTCTCCACTACTCGAAGTCTGGGCAGAAAACTGAGAGAGATTTCTGCCACACCAATGCTGGACACGGCGAAGGGCTGTAGTCTAGACATGGCCACACCATCCATCAACAGAATATTCACAGATGAAAATGGCTGCAGCGCTTTGCTGGGGACGCTTCGGAGGTTGCTATTGCCAGATATGTTTAGCAGTTTCAGGCTATTTAACCCATTCAGAGCGTCATCTGGTATATTTCGCAGCGAGTTGTAGGACAAGTCTAGGTGGTGCAGACAGGTCAGCTTGCTGAAAGTGTTGGGTTCCAACTTGGCCACGTAGTTACCACCCAGATACAGAACTGTCAGTGAGGTCAAGGGCAGGAACCACTCTCTCTTCAGTTGATACAGCTCGTTGTTGTCGAGCCTGAGCACCTGGAGAACAAACGTATCGGTTAAAACACAAGTTAAAGAAAACAAACGCATCGGTTAAAACACAAGTTAAAGAGAACAAACGTATCGGTTAAAACACAAGTTAAAGAGAACAAACGTATCGGTTAAAACACAAGTTAAAGAGAACAAACGTATCGGTTAAAACACAAGTTAAAGAGAATAAAGGTATCGGTTAAAACACAAGTTAAAGAGAACAAACGTATCGGTTAAAACACAAGTTAAAGTAGCTCTGTAAGAGGCAAGAGAAATGCAAACCGAAGTCAGACATGCAAGCCGTTGGACGCGTTCAATAAGGCGCAACAAGTGCCTAAAGAGGCTGCCTCGTGTCTCCTTAAGGTGACATTTGTGTCGGACGTATATATTCGCTGACTAACTGGCGGAAAAAGACATTTAAACATTAAGATAAATAAATCATATAGTACATTTCTAATGTCGCGCCTTTAGAGTTTAACAAATATCTTGAAAACTCTACGGATCAACAATTTTTTTTTTTTTTGCATGTGGTTTTAGATTTCCTATTTCCTTGTGATATGATAACTTACAAATTCACAGATGCTCCTGTTTTCTTACAGCTGCGACTTAAAAAAAAAAATTTGTCAGAATAATAATATACTTAATAATGAATATAGAATACAGTAGTAACAGACACAAATCGTTTACTTTAACACAACAGAGTGAAGATTTTTCTTTTTGAAATCATTTGAAATGTGAAGCGGTGTGTTGTTATTATTTTGATAGTATATCCCGCATACGATGATATATTGTTTTCATCTAAGTCACAGTAGACTAGCGCAGGCGACTAGCCACGTGCGCGGGAAATATGTAAGAACTAAGTTGCGATTATGTAAATAAAGTTATGACAGTATATGACGTCTCTACTGCACTATACAAAACACATGCACATTGATTCTTCGCATGGATTACCGCTAAAACGCATGCAATTTGATTTGCAAAGTTCTGCCACTCAATTAACTGTAAACATAGTAACTGTATACTTTAAATATGGTTTTACAGAAGAATGCTTAGAATACCTTGGACAGCCAAAAAGAGCAACCAAGAGGTTTTGAAAGAGGCGGGAGCCCGAAGACAACTTATCACAGACATCAGAAGGAGACAGTCATCATTTTTCGGCCATGTTATGAGAAGAGGGAAAATAGAACATGTTGTGACCACTGGAAAAATATGTGGAAGGAGAGATAGAGAAAGACAACAAGAGAAGATGCTTGACAGTCTTGTTGCATGGCATGGAGGTGTGTCGGCACACGAACTGATACATGCTGCAGGAGATCGCAGACTATGGAGAGGCTTGATCGCCCACGCCAGTCGGCAAGGCACCTGATGATGATGATGATACTTTAAAAGGCTATTGTTTTTGTTTTTATTTTTTCACATACCACAACATTGACGACGTTTATTTAGATTAGAATCCTTCATGTACAAGGAGATGATTATTAACAGGTCCCATACCAAATGTCAACAGATGACACCTAGCATTTTTTGAATTACACATTTTTAAATTCGGGCACAATTTCTGCAACCGCTTGTAGTGTATGTGTTCTCTTGTATCCATTGTTTTTGTGCATCTATGAGCGCCAAGCAGTACACTACAGGTTGTTTATCACACTAAAAGTGGACTACCTCAAACTCTAGCAAAGGCACAGCGAACGAATGCAAGCACGACATCGACTTCTTCCGCTCCTCACCCGGTGCTCAGTCTACTGGAATGTGATAATTACGGAACCAACTTCGACTTCTATTATCTGATACATGGAAGTGGCGGTCTGATTTCCGCACAGGAAGATGAACTTGGTGAATATAAAACTGAGAAATTCACACCCGCACACACACACACACACGCGCGCGCGCGCGCACACACACACACATATACACACGCACGCAGGAACACACACACACACACACACACACACACACAAGCGGCATCAGAGCAGGCATTATCTTCACTTACAGACCTTACATGCCTAATTTTTTAGGCAGTATCTCCAGATTTACAAATACAATGCAGTTGGTCTCAGCGGGAAGCTCCAGCACTATGACAGAGTGATTCAGTTTCAGTATTGGTGTAATCTTTCCTTTGGAGTTAACAAAGCATGCCGAGAATGGTCGCGCTGCCTGGGCAACACTGGGTCCCTATGATTCTCACTAGCTTTATGCTACGAAGAGGAAGAAATACATCTCTGACCTCAACTTGCATGGCATTGGACTGTGAGTCTCATCCCTCCTTATAGCACAATGGACCATTATCGACTGGAAAGACGGAGAGGTGCCAACATTTATGAATGTCCAGCCGCGGCGTCCCACTAATGACAACGATCGCCTGCAGACCTGGTGGCAGGGTTGGATTTAAACTTGATAAGGCCCTTCGATATCTAGAGCCCTAAGACCCCTATAGATTTAATTAAGCTAGTCTAGGAAAACGGTACCATATATGCGCCTTTTAAATATATGGAAAATTTAAAAGTTAAGTTTTAGTGAGACAAACAATAAAGATTGCGTTTGCAAATTAAATTAAACATATGTAGTCATTTAAACAGTCTTCCTTTCAAACATCGTAAAGGAATTAGAAAATGTAATACTGTCTGTCCAAAAGCACAGTGAAGATCAAAATCTGTTCTTGAATAAAAAAAAAAAAAAAAACGAAAATAATGTCCACAGATAAAACTAGCCGTAATACATTTTTAATCAGTTTATAAAGACAGACGCAAACTATTTAGTTCAAATTCACAGAGAACGCTTTAACTCTACATTTGAAGGATTCAAGTGGAAAATGACCTTTACAAAACAAGTTTGGCGTACTCCCCAGCTCAATTGTGGAACTATCTTTCACAACAAGTCAAAAATACCTCCTGTCCGCATGCATACAATCGTAAACTGTTAGAATATTATCTGAGCACATATTACATACCCCCAGAGAATACCAAAAATATTATAAAAATAACGCACATTTTCCCAGGATTTGTTACTACAACTACGGTTTACTGTAGTTAGAAATGTGCATATTCAAGGTGTTGTATTGAATTTTTTTTCACGCTATTAAAAATGTTTGATGACTGAATAAAATTATGTAGGAAAGAAGGGAGAAAACAAGGGCAGGTTTGTAGACGCGCCTGCGTGCATAATTCCTAACCCTTTGAAAATAAAGTTTGTTCGTTCGTTCATTCGTACTTAGTGCGTCTCAAGGAGTGGGAAAAGATCTGAACTGTTTTTGTGAAACTGACCTCTAGATTACCTAATCCACTGAAGGAATGAGTTTCCACTCTCCTGATGATGTTCTTGGACAGGTCCAATTGCCGGAGCTGGTTGAGTCCGCTAAAGCTGCCATGTTGCAGTGACTGCAGCCCGTTGTCCGCCAGACTGAAACAAACATGGATAGGATTAGGTTTCCAGTGTGCAGTTACGTAGGTGTCTGATCAACACTGGGGAGTTACGAATCTGTCTCATCAACAGCGGAGACATCTAATCTATCTAAATCACTTTTTTGTTTAAAAATATACAATTTTAGGGACAAGAAGAAACAGACTAATCAAAGAAAAAAAAAAATAATGTAAGCTCTGCAAAACAAATTATAATGAAAGAATGTAATGTGTGGCTTTTATTGTTGTGTTATTACAATCGACGTCATTGCACATTTAGCATTTCATGCATGCAAAATCCTCCGATGCAGCAATCACCTCAAGCTATCTTTAATGACTTCGCATAAAAAGTTACTTACACTGTTTACTGTCTAGACTTCGAAGACGGAACGACGTGCTTCACCAGTCTTCAGTCTCAGGTTGACAATGCATGGCTGTTTTATGAAACTGAAGTTTTGCAAACTGATAAACAAAGGTTATTCTTCTGACAATAGTTGTCTCCCCCTGTGTTGGACCTGGTGACTGCTTACAGCTGTCTGTCTCCTGCACTGCTCATCATGTCTGTGACAAATATCCCTGCGTGTCAGATTAAACTATCTATCTGTGACAAATATCTCTGCGTGTCAGGTTAAACTATCTATCTGTAACAGATATCTCTGCGTGTCAGGTTAAACTATCTATCTGTAACAAATATCTCTGCGTGTCAGGTTAAACTATCTATCTGTGACAAATATGTCTGCGTGTAAGGTTAAATTATCTATCTGTGACAAATATCTCTGCGTGTCAGGTTAAACTATCTGTGACAAATATCTCTGCGTGTCAGGTTAAACTATCTGTGACAAATATCTCTGCGTGTCAGGTTAAACTATCTATCTGTGACAAATATCTCTGCGTGTCAGGTTAAACTATCTATCTGTGACAGATATCTCTGCGTGTCAGATTAAACTATCTATCTGTGACAAATATCTCTGCGTGTCAGGTTAAACTATCTATCTGTGACAGATATCTCTGTGTGTCAGGTTAAACTATCTATCTGTGACAAATATCTCTGCGTGTCAGGTTAAACTATCTATCTGTGACAGATATCTCTGCGTGTAAGGTGAAACTATCTATCTGTGACAAATATCTCTGCGTGCACAGTTAAACCATCTATCTGTGAAAAATATCTCTGCGTGTCAGGTTAAACTATCTATCTGTGACAGATATCTCTGTGTGCCAGGTTAAACTATCTATCTGTGAAGGATATCTCTGCGTGTCAGGTTACATTTTCTATCTGTGACAAATATCTCTGCGTGTCAGGTTAAACTATCTATCTGTGACAAATATCTCTGCGTGTCAGGTTAATCTATCTATCTGTGACATATATCTCTGAGTGTCAGGTTAAACTATCTATCTGTGACAGATATCTCTGCGTGTCAGGTTAAGCTACCTATCTGTGACAGATATCTCTGCGTATCAGGTTAAACTATCTATATGTGACAAATATCTCTGAGTGTCAGGTTAAACTATCTATCTGTGACAAATATCTTTGCGTGTCAGGTTAAACTATCTATCTGTGACAAATATCTCTGCGTGTCAGTTTAAACTATCTATCTGTGACAAATATCTCTGCGTGTCAGGTTAAACTATCTATCTGTGACAAATAGCTCTGCGTGTCAGGTTAAACTATCTATATGTGACAGATTTTTCTGCGTGTCAGGTTAAACTATCTATCTGTGACAAATATCTCTGCGTGTCAGGTTAAACTATCTATCTGTGACAAATATCTCTGCGTGTCAGGTTAAACTATCTATCTGTAACAGATATCTCTGCGTGTCAGGTTAAACTATCTATCTGTGAGAAATGTCTCTGCGTGCCAGGTTAAACTATATATCTCAGATATATATCTCTGCATGTCAGGTTAAACTATCTATCTGTGACAAATATCTCTGCGTGTCAGGTAAACTATCTATCTGTGACAAATATCTCTGCGTGTCAGGTTAAACTTTCTATCTGTGACAAATATCTCTGCGTGTTAGGTTAAATTAACTATCTGTGACAGATATCTCTGCGTGTCAGGTTAAACTATCTATCTGTGACAGATATCTCTGCGTGTCAGGTTAAACTATCTATCTGTGACAAATATCTCTGCGTGTTCGGTTAAACTATCTATCTGTGACTTATATCTTTGCGTGTCAGGTTAAATTAACTATTTGTGACAAATATCTCTGCGTGTTCGGTTAAACTATCTATCTGTGACTTATATCTTTGCGTGTCAGGTTAAATTAACTATCTGTGACAAATGAAGTGAGTATCTCATATGTGTGAGTATGTGTGTGTATGTGTGTGTGTGTATGTGTGTGTGTGTGTGTGTGGAAACAAGGTGGCCTGAACCAGTGTTGAACTACATCGAGATCATTCAACATATCAAATTGTTGGGACATGCGCCAAGACAACGACCAGACAGTGCAGAACAGAGAGTCCTGTCAGTCAGAAACAACATCAGCAGAGCTAGAGGTCACACTCGCAAGCGATAGACTCTAGTTCCCCCCCCCCCCCCTTTTCTCCCCTCACCCTTCTAAACGTCGGGCCATCAAACTGTAACAAATGTCTCAAACACTTTTATACAGATCAATAGGAATTGTTGCGTGTGTCCTCATACTTCTCATATCATTAGGATTTCATTATTTGCAAACACACAGGTGCTGCTATTGTCTTACAGCGGTTAAAAAACCCACCTGTAATTGACACAGTTTACCTTGGAGAGGCATGATCGCCCACGCCAGTCGGCAAGGCAGGTAATGATGATGCTGATTCTGCGCAGGCACCAGTTAAGGAATGTCTGTAGTTTATTAGTAATTGCCTTATTTGTTCTCCGTGTTTCCGCTCCGTACTAAGTACTGATTTGACATTAGAATTGAAAATTTTAAGTTTAGTATTTCTTTTAATTTCTTTCGACCTTCACAAATTCCCTGGTGCTATGAAAGCTAATCTTGCCTTTTGTATTCTTATTTTATTATCTCTATCAGTTCCTCCATTTTTATCTACATTACTGCCTAAATAGGTGTACCACTCCACGTCTTTCAGTGGGGTGCTATTAAGAGAAACCATATTACTATTTGCCTGATTTATTCTCATTATCTTTGTCTTTCCTTTATGGATTTTTAAAACTAGCTGCTGTGATCTCGCATAAAGTATATTTAATTTATCTTGCATCCGATTCAGTGAATGGGTCATTAAAAAAAAAATTATCATCAGCGAAGTCCAGATCATCAAGCTGTTTTGTAGGGGTCTACTGAGTTCCATTCTTGGTGTTAGCATTTACTGTCTTCATAATCCAGTCTATTGTCAGTAAAAATAGGAGAGACAACCAAAGACATCCCTGTCGCCAATTATTTTTTTTAAATTTTAAATGGATCTGTTAGCTTTTCTAATGAAGAACTCGACATTTCCTGTCCTTATATGTTCACTTTACTAAGTTAATAATGTTCTGTGGGATTCCATAGTGCCAGATCAATTTATAGAGAGATTCCCTATCAGTGCTGTTAAATGCTTTTTTCGTATTCTATGAATCCAATCTAAAGTGGTGAGTTCACTTTAATGCTCTATTATTATTCGTAATGTGGCTATCTGGTCAGTACGGGATCAGTTTGGCCGAAAACCTGTCTGTTTATCACTTAGCTGTGTAGAAATAGCATCTTTAAATCTGTTCAAAATAATTCTACATTTTTCATGTACGACACATACATTACAATAAAAACTACATGTTTGTTTACATTACAATTAATTTCCTACAAGCAGTTGATTATTAAAGTATTCACATGTTGCACGCCACATTTGAACAATTGACACCGAACAATTAGTGAGTTACAGATTTTAAGGTATGGCACAACTTTTGGCCCGGACTATACCAGCATCTACGCATCGCATCAAGGCTTCCACCAGGTGACTTTTCAAAACCTGACATTCAAAGGCGGAACAGAGTCACCAGAACAGAAGGAGGAAAAGATTGTTGAATCAATGTGTGTGTGTGTGTGTGTGTGTGTGCGTGCGTGCGCGCGTGTGTGTGTGTGTGTGTGTTGTTTTTAAATGTTTCCCCCAAATTCTGTATTTTTTCAGATTTCCTTTTACAATGGTGCTTGAGTAGTCAAACGTAACTAAACATCTCTGTTTATTTCCATGATTATAATTAGTTTATGAAATATGTTACCAAGACGACTATGCCATTATTCTGCATTGACATTACAAAAATTTACACTGCGCATCTCCATTTTTTAGTTTCATTGTACTCAACTCATTCTAATTCAGCTTAGTCTGAAGTCAAAGCATCTAGCCAGATTTTTTCCGTCTGTTCAAATCAAACGTAAAAGATATAAAAACTCACTGTGAGCTGCAAGAGACATTTGGGCAGTAGCTTACCGAAAACATGGTTTACATGAAACATATTATTTATTTTAGGATAAAAGAAACGAAGCATGTGTATGATAATCTTACCTAAGGACACGAAGTTTAGACACGTGTTCAAACAGCCACGAGTTGGCCAGAACCCTCAACCAGTTGCTGGAGAGATCAAGGACAAGGAGATCGCTCACGTTGGCTAGAGAGGTGATGTTCATCAGTTTGTTGTGCGACATGTCCAACACCTGCGTCTCATTTGACATCATCTTAGGGAAGCCAATGAATCCTTTCCCGGAACAGTTGACAGTTAGAAGGGACCCCGGGACCGCAGTGGACGGGTAGGTACCCCAGTAGCAAGTGCATGAATCTGGACAAGGGCTACTTTTTGAAAGCTCGTTGCTGTTGTCGTCGTTGTTAATGCCCCTGTTGCTATCGCTGTCGTCAATGTAATTATGAGGAACGAGATCGTTATCCATATACGGTGGGATTGCAGGTGTTGAAGCAGCTGCCATGGCAACTAAGATTAGCCACGCCCATGGCACCTTCATTGCTGTAGCATGTCGAAATCTAGCTACGATTGATTCCAGTGGTGGTGCTTCTCGTCATTGCCTCTGGTTGTGTGCATTCTATCTACAAGCCTTGCCACTCGCACACCGAAGACAGATGTACGCTTGCAAAGATACAACATGAGTCCGTTTCGGAAGCTTGTCCAAGAAGCATTTCAAAATTTTCAATATTTACGTAGACTTTGTGTCCCCATTCGTTTAACAAAAACTCTCACGTTGTTTCCCCCCCCCCCCCCAAGGCAAGTGCTATAATCGAAGTCGTCCCTATGTATGATGCAATGTTTAGTTATTTTGAAGCCCCACCCTGGCGTTTTCTGGTGGTCCTAAATATAGCCGTGCCTGAAATATGGCCTAACGGTTGAATAGGGTTTCCGGGACCTCTCCACATATGATCCTCATCCGCATGGTGGCACTTTGTGTCGCTGGGTGTTTATAGCGATGTCCTGGTGATCTCAGTCTTTCTAAAAGACAGAAGATAACAATTTCAGTCTTTCTAAAAGACAGAAGATAACAATCTCAGTCTTTCTAAAAGACAGAAGATAACAATTTCAGTCTTCTTTATGGACAGAAGATGGAGCGTTAAATTTTGTTTACAAGAAGAAAATGTAACTGTTGGTCCTCCTAACTGATTCAGTGTCAAAGCGGCTGGACCGGATTCCCTCTATGGGGAAATAGCCTTATGTGACATATAGTGATACAGCAGGACGATGAATGAATGAATGAATGAATGAAAGTAAAACTTTGGCTCTAGACGTCAGGTAGGATTTTCAGTTCTCTCAAATGTAGCAACCGAATCTGGGAGCCAGAGGGAGGGAAACTCTGAAATAAATCGAGGTCACGCTGAAGCAGCCTCGACAACATCACAGTGTCAGTGTCAAGCCAAGAACGGACGGTAATAGGCTGTTGGTGAAGTGGCCTGGAGCTAGGAATTAGGCATTCAAGGTCTGTTGTGATGGGTTCCGGTCTCTGGAGTGGTTCATGTCTCAATTTGTGTCTTCTGATGTCACTTCCGGTGAGACAAGTGCAGGCTTGCCGTCTGCATCAAGCTGTAAATGGAGAAGATCAATACAGCGTTAGAAGCGATACCCGGGGTAATAGATGAAGACCGTGTGTGTGTGTGAGTGTGTGTGTGTGTGTGAATGTATGTATGCTGTGTGTGTATGTATGTGTGTATTTGTGAATGGGTGTACATGTATATGTGTACGCGAATGTTCGTCTACTTGTGTGTATGTGTGTGTGTTGGACGGGGGATTTGGTAGTGTAGAAAAGAATCATTTGACACTTGCAGTTGTGAATTTGTTTGCGAGTTTGTAATCTGGGAGAGGCTTGCATTAGTGTGTGTGTTTGTTAGTGTATAAGTTAGTGTGTACGTGTGAAATCGTGGGTATTGAGCCGGTGTAACATATGTCAGATTGAGCTGTCAGAATTGTGAGGTATAAACAGCATTGTAGAATAGTCACATTTTAAAATTCCATAAATATGTAAAGGAATGGAGAACTGGAAAGAAAAACGAAATTTGTATTCTGTTGAAACCACCACTCACTGATCACTGACATCAAAAGGGTTGATAGACTGAAATGTTTACGGCATAATGAGAGAATATCTGACGATAGAGAGATAAAAACCGTGTGCATAATGGCGCTAAATTTTCCTAGACCACGAGGCAGACCAAGAAGACGATGGAGAGATAAAATCAAGACAGACCTACACATGCTTTATGTCATCAACTGGAAAGAAAAGGCCAACCAGAGAGAAATGGAGGTGTGATATTTGTAGCAATATACCTCAAAGGCTCGAAATGCTGAAGAAGAAGAAAAAATCTATGTATGACTATAGTTGTCACAAAAAAGCTATGTGTCAGACAGACAGATAAGTAGACAAACATATTTGCAACAACAACAAAAATGGACAAAAACATGGGCACCAATGCTTGACATAATAATCACGTAACTCGCTTCAATATATGAATTATCTCCCTTTAAAATAAAAAATAAAAACTACCATTTTAGGGAACCATTGCGAGCAAGTTACCAGACTAGTGGCTCTCAACTATTTTGATTTGTGGAGCCATTTTTGTCATCAATTTCTGTGGCGGAGCCTCCTAGGTCTCTGTGCCCCATGTGTAACAAGTTAACCGTGTGTAAAAGTAAAGTTCCCGGGTGGAGGAAGAAGAGGTCCAATTTCAGTTCACTGTGAAATGTCAAACCTCCTTAATTGTAGACTATAGGGGTAACATCTCAAGTATGAGAATCAAGTGCCGGAAACCCCGCTCAACCGTAGAGTCATATCGTCAGTGAGTCTCTTTTCCACGCCTCTATGCGTATTGGCAATATAGGGCAAGACCTGTATTTTTAAAGACCAATCGGCACTTAGTGGGTAATGAGGTCAGCATTACGCCGGCCGCCTTTACTTTCCATGAATGCACCTGGTACCCACTCAAGGCTGGGTCGATCTAGAAATCAAAGTCGTTTATGAAAAAAAGTCTGGCCCCGGCGACTCCCGTATAGGCATGTAGCGCAGTTATTTTAGTGCAACATAAAACGGTTACCAAGTCACCTGTAGATGTCACATATATAAGGACTTCTGTGACAATACGCTCGGTGACTTCAGAAGGTCTTTCCTCAACCTACTTTTATTTCTTTGTATTTTGAAAGTATGCAGAAAAATAGGGATTTGGATATATCCTTACAGAAGAAAGACGACCAGATATAACATTTAATTTTCCGGGACTGTTGATAATATCAAACACTAAGACACTTTCCCAGATGTTAAGTGTTAACGTACAGAGATAAGACTGGCCAAGCGTAGATTTACTGTCTGCAGATTTGCACACCATCTGTTGGTGTCAGAGATTTATCTCCTAGCAAGACCATTATAAGTAGATAACTCCGGCTAATTGTGTTTAATTCCCCCTGAGGTTACCTAAACTGGAGTGCCGGTCAGATCGTCAATATTGACACAGGGAACCGAAAGTGTGGGCAGAAGAATTGACAAAGTCTGATTTTATTATGATGACAGGTGAAGTAGACTGGAGGTGTGACTTAGCCTATTAGCTTTGACCAGCTTAATTGAACCTGTAGAATGTGACCGTGGGAATTTAAACAAGTGTTGTACAGCCCTGACTGACAGCGAATAAACTTACCCACAGGGAGGAGCTGTGATATCCGTGAATGAGAATGATTTTAGGCGTAATGTAGGAGGAGCTTGATAAAAGTTATAAAGGGCTGAACGCTAGGTCTGGTAAATGAGATCCTGTCCAGCACATGCCATCTGTTGGGCTTAACCTAAGCTTGAGACAGAACCTTTGGCATAGTGGTTTCATTTTCCAGGTAAGAACGAAATTAGGTTCAAATCTATATTTTGTGATAGAACTGTCTTTTTGCTCAAGTGTGTGTCTTCATCACTTTGTAATACTCCTATGCGGACATTTCTCCATTCTCGTAGGGCACTGTCACATTGCTTTATTTCCTAATTGATAGTGTCATGATGTTTTTTTGTGCACATGTGTTTCAATGTTTTAAAACTTAAATGTTGATGTTACCATTGAAATTTAAAGAACTATCAAGTTCTTGAAATCACAAGCGTGAAGATAACTTTGGCAATCTTTTCACGTATGGTTAATGTGAATCTGTATTACATACAGCTTACACACTGAAATGTGTTTAACTCCCGAGAGGCTAATGCGGAGATTGATCCCGGAGAGTAAATCCACGAGTTTTGTTATTTGATTCGCCTCAGAACTATTGTTAGCATTCTGGGCGCGTCGATTGTTCCAAGCATAGATTCCAGAACTGGTTCTGTCTGACTGATTGTCATTTTGAGTCTGTACGAGAGATGGCACCTGACGTAGAAGACTTGACTATCATTACAGGACTTGTGTAGAAGAAGGCAGAAGATGTAACAGTTGGAATGTGAGACATAAGCCCTTCCAAATTGGACAGGAGTGAATGTGAACATGAGAGAGAGATGAAATGTTTTATTTAAATAAACATGCTTGATGTTATTATAATATACATGCTTAGTGTACATCTAGAGCAGATACTACAAATATGCGCTTGTTTCTTTATCACAGTTCCCACATTGGGCAGGGACTAGTAGGCATCCATTATTTGCCGACCGTCTGAGTGTAACGACCTGCTGAAAGCAGTGAGGACGACAAACTGGAAAAGATAGGCAGGGTCTCAAGCCGAGAACTGTCCGACGGTGAATTCTCCTACTAGAAACTAGAATCTAAGTTATGTACAACTTTAATGTCATCTATAACATCATCCCAACTCTACTAGCCTAATCAAGTTCATTTTAATTTCGATTTATTCAAATAAATCATGTTTGATGTTTTTACAAAATGGTTGAGTAAATTGTGTACTTAGGTTCAAGTGTCATTGTGCATATTAGTTTACTTCAGCTAACAAATATTTAAATCACTTGATGGGGGCTTTTAAGTAATGCCAGGAGAGGAGAGCAGTCGGAGGGGTTAACTGAGTATCCTGATATTATCTCAGTGGGTTTTTCTTGATATCTATCTATCCCTTCTCCTACTCCTGTGGATACAAGTACAGCAACTTTCATTTCATGGAACGAGCCACACGCTGTTTTCTTGGCTATCCAGGACTGTCTAGGATCAACATAGCTTAGATAATAGTCCAGTTTCTCACGTGGGTGGGCATTGTTAAGGTTCAAACCCACAGCCTCACTATATCAGTGTATTTACCCACGTGGGCGCGCGACAACTTCGTATGCCGCTGACTTTTTTTCTTCTTCTTTTCGTTAGTCCGTTGTGCCTGTTTACAGCACAACTGCGATATTTCAGTCTTTTGAGCGACACATCCGACTTCATCGAGCATTTGTTGCCCGGATTAACTTCCCAGATAATTTCGAGGGACATGTGGTAGTGGTGTGTCTTCCTTGTCCCTTCATCTACAAGTGCGGTCCCCTGAGAATGTTATACTCCAGACATTTGAACATTGTCAGTCCCATCTTGT